AACAAAAATATGCTCACAAAAAACAAGTGTTAACAATTAACCATTGCGGTGTTTGGCCAGGTGGCACATGTATTGGCTAACACTAAAATGACACACAGAGAGCAAAACCTCTTCTCAACTCTCCAAATGTCTAAACAAATGTTCTGCATTACACACATTTTGCAATTCAAAATGGCACTTTTTAAGTGCACTGAACACAGTCCTCTGCATAAAACACAACAATCTGACTTTAAGTCACATGTTTGCCATTTCAAAACACTGCTATTCATTTAATAATTTGGTACACCTATAGATTTCTATTGATACAGATTCTATAGTTTCTACTTTGTTTGCAATTTCTGATACAGATAACCATGCAAATGAAATGAATTATTTTTACATTTAAGTGATTTTCTTAGAGAGGAAGAGGAAACAGGCAATGACTGTATAACATCAGATTAAACAGGGATGCATCAGAAGAAGGGAGACAAATGGTATAAAATACAGTACATTACTTATGTATGTGTATGCCATGTGAGACTGTAAACTGATTACCACTGAAGAGACTGCCACATTACTGTAATTCAGTCTGTAAAGGTCAACTACCGTATACCATTATATGGCACAGTGCAAACATTTTACTGTATTGCCAGCTAACACTGGCACAAAAGCACAAAACCTCATGGCAGTTTCATAACTTCATCACAGCTTTTGATTACACACTAGATAAATACTATTACAAATATTATGGATTTCATTTCATAAGTTATGTAACGTAAGTGTATTTTCTAATGTGGCAACTGTAGCCTGTACTGTAAGTATTTAATCAACAATGGTAATTTGAAACATGTAGGCTATCTTGTGTTCTGTTGAATTGATTGTTAAAAGTACTAAATTGAACCAAGATCATACTGTTGTGTTTTGGTGATTAAACCAAATGTTCTAATTACATATTACAATAATCTTGTGTTTGAAACAATGATTATGTGGACTGAAATGTTTATTTCTGAAAGCGTGATATCAGGTTTTGAAAGAATGACTAGCTCCGCTACAAGTGTTATCAGTTTTGGCGCTTGCACACTTCGTTCGAAATTTGCATCCGAAATTTAAATACGAGATTTAAAAATAAATCACGTTAAAAAATAAATACGACCACACGTTATGTCAATCTCGCTTGCACACTGCCTCCGAAACAAACATTAAAAAAAAAAATAGAATCGTGTTCAATTTTCTTTGTTTTTCGCATCCGTAGCAAGCAGTTTGAATGGTGTTTTGACAATTCAGAGCCACCGAATCACGAATACGAAAAAACACATACTAAAATTTTCGTATTCGTGATTCGGTGGCTCTGAATTGTCAAAACACCATTCAAACTGCTTGCAACAGATGCGGAAAAAACGAAGAAAATCGAACCCGATTCGATTTTTTTTTTTTTTTTTTTTTTTTTTTTTTTTTTTTTTAATGACCGTTTTGGAGGCAATGTACAAGCGTGATTGACCTAACATGAGGTCGTATTTATTGTTTAACGTGCAAGTGTTTCATATGCGTTTTTCTGTATTCACGAAATTTTTGTATGTTTTTTTGTATTCGCGATTCAAAACACCATTTAAAGACCATTCAGACTGCTCGCTACGGAAGCGGTAAACGCAAAAAATCGAACCGATTCGATTTTTTTTTTATGACGAACGAAAATTTCGAGGCGGTATGCAAGCGTGACATGACGTGAGGTCATATTTATATTGTAACGTGTGAAAATTTCGGACGTGAATTTTAGACTCAGCGTGCAATGGCTTTAAAGGGTTAGTTTACCCAAAAATGAAAATTATATCATTATTGACTCGTCAGTCCAACATGTCGTTCCAAGCCCGTAAGACCTCCGTTCATTTTCGGAACACAGTTTAAGATATTTTAGATTTAGTCCGAGAGTTTTCTGTCCCTCCATTGAAAATGTACGGTATACTGTCCTTTTCTAGAAAGGAAATAAAGACATCATCAAAGTTGTCCATGTGACATCAGTGGTTTAGTTAGAATGTTTTAAAGCATCGAAAATACATTTTGGTCCAAAAATAACAAAAACTATGATTTTTATTCAGCAGTGTATTGTCTTGCGGTTCTGTTGTTGATCTGCGTTCAGTGACGCTGATGACGTAAGACGCTACTGATGTGTGTGACGCCGATCTTACGAACTTCGGACGACATGAGGGTGAGTCATTAATTACATAATTTTCATTTTTGGGTGATCTAACCCTTAAGACTTGTGAAAATAGTAACAAAGCGAATAAATGTTTTTAATACTTTTGTTATCTTAAACAAATAATAAAAACATATTTCAATAATTAAGCACACAGTTCAACCCTTTTATTTATTTTAGTATTGTGATTTAATTATTTTACCTTTATCTGCGGGTCGGATTTCTTCTGTCCCGTTGTGATGGTGTGGTGATTTTGCAGCAAGATGTACTCTTTTTCTCAGTCCTCTGCGGTTATGGTTCCAGACGACCCATAACCAGTGGCGATTTTTGTGTGAGTCTTCATTAAATACATCTATGGCAAGCTGGGACCATATCTCTGAGGAATATTCAGTGTTTATATTCAAAATATCAGCTTTCTGCAGCTTCTTGGTCATTGAATCGATCCCTCCTGCCTTTTCCCATAGATCTGATCTTGCCCGTTTTGTGACTTTTTTATACCTCCCCATTCTACAGTGTGAGAGATCTGACTATGTCTGAGTTCAGGTCCACTTTCCTACATATTCAATAAGGTCTCACTAAACTTCTGCCCTCCTCTTTCTGACTAGATCTGACCAACGCAGAGATAGTCATACCTTGTTTCAAAACTTTGTCATGAGAAAGTTTTGAGATGTTTGAGAAACATTTTACCTTATCTTGTGAAAACAACACAGCACCTAAAAACAGACATACCATTGAGGAACAACAGAACAACTGTAATCAAACAATTCTCTGTAATCCTTAGTTCCACTATTACCCCCTGTCCGACACCTCTCTCTCTCTCTCTCTCTCTCTCTCTCTCTCTCTCTCTCTCTCTATATATATATATATATATATATACATGTAATGTGTGTATATATATATATATTTCTTTGAAATGAGAAACGTTAAAAAAAATTGTAGTTAGTGGCAGCGCACTAATATTTAAATATTAGTGCTGCCACTAACGACAAATGTTTTCAACGACTAATCTTTCGACTCATTTTTCAATTAGTCAACTAATCTAAATGACTAATATATATATAAAAAACATTGTTTGTCATTTCGTTGTGTTTTCAGTGCACACTGGACAAGCAAAAGACGCAATATAGTAATGTTTTACATTTTTCACATCCGTGTGTAGTTTGGTGTGCCTATCATGTGATGTTTGTGCGTAGTTACTACTCAAAAACACAATTTTTGAAAGGGCTAATATAGTTTTAAATGATATGTTTGGTTTTGAAAGAGATGTTCGATGTTTTGCATGTTGTGTGCATGTTTTGTGTGTAGAGTTTCAAGGAATAGAGCCATAGTTTCAGAATGTGAATTGTATATCACTGGGACAGTAACATGGGAAAACACTTTTGGTGAGTTACTGTAATTTTTCCTATATGAATGTTTGTGTACATATGTACAATAATGGATGTATTGTCAAATAATTTTCACCTGTAATAAGTCAGTGTGCTCACAGTGTGCAAACTTGACTATGTTCGTGACGCTGTCCATGTATGTGTCACGGAAGGTCCTACACGATCCTTCCTGCAACTTAAAGTTTCTATAACTTTCAATACATTTTCAATAAACCATTGAATGTCATTAAGCACTTTCCAAAGCTGACTACACCATGGGGATTGGCATATTTAATTTTTTTTAGTTGACTGAAGAAATTGTGTTTTAAGTACTATGAATAAGAAATGACTAAAAGTTATTATAAAGTGTTACCGTTACCTAACTACAATCAAAATATTCTCCATTCATTCTCATTATTAATGAGCAAAAAGGAGAATAATATTATGGATAAACATTCACTGTGAGAATGTGTTATCAAAATGTTCCCAGAGTTGATTTCGAGGCTTCAACATTGAGGGAATGTGTGTGTGTCCTTGCTGTCCATATTAAGACAAGTCGTGCATCTCCATCCCCGTTTTCAATGTGAATACGAAAGTTCACGCGCTCTTGTCTTGTGCTAACTTTCCATTGTTATGCATACTTTGCTATGCATATGCATTACTTTCAATATCTCGTGAGCTGAATATTTTTAAAACACAAATAACATTGTTTTAATATTTATATTTTCCTCAAAAAAATAAACTTTGCAGACGGTCCCTTCTTAGCAGCCTGCGATAGAGGTCAATGTATTTTGTCCACTGCGAAGGAAAGCTCGTTTTGAGGAAAATTAGCTTATAGCTGCTGGTAGTTGTATGTGTTAGGGGTTATTTGTGCAGTAACAACGATTTATTGAACGCGGTAGTCCGCGAATGTGCGAATATAAGACCCAAGTGAAATCTTGATGGACTAAATGACTTTGACTGTTTCTCTGAATTCCTCCTTTTCCAATCCAATCAAGACTATTTGAACTGTGTGAAGAGGGTTTTGATATAAATGAAACCTGCATTGTTTATATTGGGATTGTGTGTGTTTAATATTATCCCAATGGTGATGTGTGGTGTGATGGGTCATGGTGAATATACTAAAATATGTGCATACTGAATCATAGTGGTTTGGCTTTCTTAGAGTTTGCTCTTGCAACATTAAGGATTCATGTTGATTAATTTAGTACATGTGTCCTGTGTTCACCCTCCTTCTTGATGGGACTAACGACCCTAAACAAGATTAAGAACATTTTGGCAGAATATATATATATATATGTGTGTGTGTGTGTCTGACACCCCAGCATAGATTGAAGAAGGAAAGTGTTACAATGTGATATCCCAAAATAACATACTGTAGCTGTTAATACATTAATATAATCATGCATGTGTGCTATAAAAATGCTGTCTACACAGAAAATCATTCATAATACATGTAATTTTTTAAAATATATATATTTTAATAACCTCTTATTTGAGTATTGACATTGTCCATATAGCGAGTGATTCTTACAGTATATGTTCTGTAAAAGGCCATTCTTACACGTTTACATTTTGTATTGTAACGATATTAATTCATATTAATGAATTCAAACTGGCTAAAATTTAGTGTTCAGAAATAAGTGAAAAAAGACACACTTCGTTATTGTTTTCATGCCCTTGTATAGATAAAAAATAAATGAATAGAAATATTGATATGTTTGAATATAGTATAATGTATAGGTGTGTCTAATAATGTACCAGTTTTATTAGTATTATTAGATAAAATTATGTCTTTTAAGGTGCACACACGATCACTTTCACTGTGGAGCTGTAGGCCGCATCATGGCGATGACAGGCTGAAAAAGACAGAAACGGTTTACAACTTTGCATCATATTTCACATCATTCGTTCTGAGCATCATGGAAAGGTTTATGAAATGAGCATTACGTACCACATGAGATCTGGGAGTGCAGCAGGGAATCACCTTGCAACAGTACGCGGCCAGAGTGAGAGAGATAGCGATCTGAGTCAACTCCATGAGTAGATCCAATACAGTCAGCTGAGTGAGTACCTCCTGTGCGAGTAAAGAGGGTAATGATATATAAATCCTTAATAGTTCACTTTGAAATTAATTTTTGGTATGTTTTAGCTTACCTCAAGGGCAGCCAAGATGTAGGCATCTTTTTTTACACAGTATTTTCAATTTTGATATTTTTAGGTCAAACCGTTCTTGTCTGTCAATCATATAATGGAGGTCTATGGTCACCACCTCAAAGAGCATGCACAGAGAAGTCCAAATTAAACATGATTTAATGACTCGTAAATGTAAGTACACATTGACGGCCTATATAAGACACGAAACGAGCGGTTTGTGTGAGAAAACGAACAGTATTTATATCGTTTTACCTCTTGTAATCACAGCCACGTCCGAGTGATCTGAGGTCACGGGTGCTTTGGTCTGCGCAAGGGCTGGAAGTGATCTCCTCGGAAGTAAAGAAGAGTTTGCGCGAGCACACGTAATTGTTTTCTTTTACGACAGTTTAAACATCCCGGATAAGCGCAAATTAGTACCATTTTAATTAGCCGTCTTACCATTAGACAGATCTTGCTTACAATCTTTGTTCAGTGTAAACAATAAGTGACGTACACGCGCAAGAGATTTTCTGGCACTTACGCAGACCATAGCGTCCGCGCCCTCAGATACTTGGATTCAAGAGATAAAAACAAACGATATAAATACTGTTTGTTTTCTCACAAAAAACGCTCGTTTCGTGTCTTAGGCCATCAATGTGTACTTACATTTACGAGTCATTAAATCATGTTTAATTTGGACTTCTCTGTGCATGCTCTTTGAGGTGGTGACCATAGACCTCCATTATATGACTGACGGACAACAACGGTTTGACATAAACATATCAAAATTGAAACTACTATGGAAACAAAGACAAAGGTTTTGATGTAAGCTTAATTTCAAAGTGAACTATCCCTTTAAATGGCAAATATTTCATCATCATAACTGTTTTGTCAATCCCCGAGCCCCTAGAGCTTCTGTTTACCACACCTGATGTGTGAGTTGATGAATGTTTATATGTGAATAAAAGCCTAAATTAAATCTGTTTATCATGTAAAGTGATGTAAAATTCGCTTCTCTTTGTAGAATTTGGAGTACACCGCTCAATTCATATGGATTAGTTTTACGATCTCTTCATGAACCGTTTGAAGCTCAAAGTAGTTGCGTAGCTGTTTGTGGAGAGTACAGAACGCTCTCAGATTATATTAAAGGGTTAGAAATTGATTTTTGGGTGAACTTTCCCTTTAATTTCGTACATTTAGAAACTGTTTCATATGAAAGTTTTTCTCTTGAAGATACCACTTATAATATGCAGAGCATTATTTTCAAAGGAGAAAAGCATAATAGCACTGACATTTTCTCTTTAAAACGGTTTAGCTTGCCTCTAAAAGTAGGCATGTGCTGTTTTCAGGAACTGTCTCGTTATAATGGTAGAAAAGCCAGCAGACACCATGTGATGAGGGAGTCATCGTGTTGAGGAGATAGCCAGCATATAACACACAAGTGATCACCTGCATTCCCAAACATGCCTTGAGCTGTTAAGAAATAAAATGACACGCGTAAGATGAGAAATGCCTATTTCCTGACACATTCGGAGTGGGTACTCAAAACTTCAGTGGGCCCATTTTACACACAGTGCATAACTTGCATGATGACACTTTTTTATATAAGAAATTTCCTCTTTTTTTGTGCGGTGTCCACTCTTACTGTCGGTAAGTGGAGTTTCTGCGCTGCTATCGCCAAACTGCCAGCAATTATGCCCTGTTGAAGGAAAACACAGTGTTACATCAGGGATGAGCAACTTTTGAAGGGTCACTGTCCTGCCACTGACCCTGGTGTCACGTGATAATGACATCGTGGCGAATGTAGTTTGTCCGGATTACATTCGTACTAGAGTAGCTTGCACACACACTCATACTAGAACATTTTTTTAACAGTTGTGAAGTAATAATTAGCCTACTTATTCAACATAAGTACAAGACAGTATGCTATATGCGATTTCAGATGCAGCCAATGTCTTCAGGATTACTATATAGCAGGTTAAAGAGAGTTCTTTAGTTCTGCAGGACAGTGGCCCTTAAATCTCTGAATTATCCATCAAGGCAAGATGAAACCATCTAAATTGAACCAGGAACCGCTTAAATTGGTTAAGACCAGCAAACCAACTTTAAATGGCTTATAAGCTTTGTAGCCCTCAAACCGTATTCACTTTATAGCCCTTAATCCTGTAATTGTGGACAAATGTGGGCACAGAGGACTCAGGTGTGATCCTAATTTTTAATTATTATAAATGTTATATCACTGTCTTCGATAAAGTTTTGTATGTCCATTTATGATGTTTTCTTTTATTTTGGGGGCATTTTTGAATTTATTTACTTCAAAAAGTACCATATTTTCTATGTAAATTATGAATTACTATGTAGTTTTATTTTTTTAACTTCGTTAAAATATCATTCCAATACGTTCTTAGAGCTAAAACCTAAAGATGAAGTGACTTTGCTGGCACCTGTCTTATTTTGGCTTATTTTAGAATGCTCTAAATTATATTTCTCCCATTCGTTTCTATGGGTGCCCATTTTTGACCCAAATACAAGATTAAGGTTTTTTTTTTTCACCCACTTAAAAAAAAAAAAAAAAAAAAAAAAATCAAAAAAGAGTCAAAATAAATTGTGTGTGTATAGGAGGCAAATTTAGGAAAAGTAGCCAAGTCTTGTACCGCTCAGATCAAGGGAAGTATTTACGTTAAATCAAAACTATTTTGTCCACATTTGTCCAGAATACAGTTTTAGGGTTAACTATATGAAAATAATGAATTTAAACACAGCCTACAATGAACACTTACAGCAACAGCGGAAAACGCTCCCATGATGTTGTATATCATCCATTCAAAACTGATTATCTTAGTATACGGATGATTGTATTCATAAGATATTCCCAAATAAAACAGAATTCCGAGACCCATGAAGAAGACATTCAGCGCGATCTCCGTCACCTGTGGATGAGACACAACTCTTCAGTAGACGTGTTTAACGAATCACAACACATTGAATTCTACTTTAACGCGAACCTAATTACGTGTACCCCTAAAATCTTGGGTTCTGCCTCCAGGTATTTGTATTTTTGACGTGGGTTCCTCTGGAAAGTAACTTCCACTAACGCCCCAGCGTCGCCTGAATCGCTCGCGCTCTGCGCTGCAACATCCGAAACATCTGCCTCGGGCTCGCCTGAGGAACAGCGTCAAAAGAAGTCTCGGATCAGTCCAGGTTCGGTTGTTGCAAATAACAATTTATAAGATACACAATATTTGTAAGAAATCTTACTCGTCATTTTCTTCGGCTGGTCGTTAGGTAGGCTATGCGATCAAAACAATAGCTATATTATAGCTGCCGATCCCTGAAAAAGACTGTTATGGGGATTTCGGAATGTTTCCGCCCATCTCCCATCTGGAGCTTGAGGAGTTCATACAGACTTCTAGCCTATGGCAATCCATTTTAACATCTAACCCTTACAATTTACCCAGCTAACAAACTGAAGTGACAAAGTAGGCCAATCGCGGTGACCAAACTTTCGTCATGTAAACGGAAAAGTGAAATTTCTGGATCATTCTTTTTGAATCAGTTTTTAGCCTATTTATCTATTTTTCAATGACATTATTTTCCCAAACTAATTTAAAGGTAATTTCTGCTGTGAATGATGAATGCAGACTCAAAATGAATTCATTTCATTTATTTAGAAAAAAACACACAAACATGAACAATAAAATACTCCAAAATGATTAATAAAAACATAGGATATACAGCGAAACATGATTGTAAGCTCAGCATCATTATAAATCGTTGTGATATGCTAGCATAACAGTTGCTAGATAGTTCAGAGATGACTAAGGAAAGATATAATCAGGTATACAAATTCACAAAAGTAATAGATGTGGGTAATATACTTAACCAATCTGATGCAACTTTTAATTTTTTTTGACAAAAACAAAAACATTTTTATAAAAGCTATTTGTTCGTTGTAAAGTGTAAAGGTCCTTGCACAAAGTCTAAAATTTTCGCACGTTAAAAAATAAATACGACGTCATGTTGTGTCAATCACATTTACGCACTGCCTCCGAAACTTTCGTTTTTGAGTATTTTGACAATTCACAGCCACCGAATGACGAATATGAAAAACAAATAGTCTACGAAAGTTTCGGACTCAGTGTGCAAGGACCTTAAGACTCAACTCGGAAAAATAAATTCTTCTGTCAGGGGCAGTGGAAGTAAAAGTGCCAGAGATGCACCTGATGGTCTGTGTAATTATTCCATCTTCATAACTTGTTGCGAAATAAAAAAGTTTAACACCTCAGATAAATGTACTTTCCTGTCTTGTGCGCTGCGCACACTATTCAGTTGAGGAGGCGCACTGTATGTCATGTATATAAAAAGCAAGATTGTCCATATTCTGACTTGGTGAAAAGCAATGCAACATTATGTTGCGAGTAAGTCTTGAAATTAAATTACAGACTAGTATCTTTAAAAAGGTACTAGTAGCTAAATAATAAAGAATAATCACTAGTAGCAAATGAAATGAAAACCTTATGGAATATAGATACTACAGTATGTACCTAAAAAAAATAAGCACTTTAGCATGAAAATAGATACTGATACATTTTAAAGATTAAATGTTAACATGGCTTTCCATAGGTTTTTCGGCAATGCAGATGGAAAGGCTGAACTTGAAACCATTGTCGTATTTTAGTGCATTACTCTACTTCATATAACAGAATAGTTTTGCAATAGAGATGTCAACAAACACTACTGAGCTGCACAGACATAAGAATATGGCTCTGATAAGAAAAAAATAAGCTGATGAGACACAATGGACTACTACAACTCCAAATGTCAGTGGTAAGCACATCACTTTTGTCATGAAACAAGCTGGTGATGTGCTTTGTCTGGTAATACGACTTCTGTGACAACTATAGAGCAACCGATGAGAGAGTCATACATTCATAAAAACAGATTTACAGAAATACAGCAAGCATAGGCTATTTGTGATTATTATAAGGGCCAGTTTATGGAAAAGCTGATAAAGTCACAAAAGTTGTGTTAACATTTAAGTCTTCTCAGTTATTTATAGGGCAGCTTTCTCTACCCTGATGAACGAGATTAGGCTATAATGTTATTCCCAGGTGCTGATGTATATAAAATGATACATTTCTCTCGATTGTTTAGTTTTCTTAACCTTATTGCGCCGCATTGTGCCTGGTGTATGCCCATTTGATCAATGCATCCTTGCTCAATTAAAATTAATTCTTTCTTTCAAAGAAAACAAACTTTTGAAGTTAGGCTATGCAAGTAAAACAAGTAGGAATTGAAAGTTTAATGCACCCGTTGTTACATGTACTTTGAATGTCTTAATTTGTAAGAAAATGTGAAATGTGAGAACTTGTTTAACAGGGGTAAGTTCATGTCATCATGAGGAGGGGAGATGGCTAGTTAAATTGGGTATGTGTGGTTCGATCCGAAATGACTAGAAAGCTATTTGTGCTAATTACTTAAGAATAACATATTATGACACACACAGTTATTGTTCTATCAAGTATTTTACCATAATCTCACTATTTTTTTCCAATTTAAAACGAACCATTATTTTCATTTCAAACACTGAAGAGCTCCAAACTATTTTATTAATAAAAAAAATGAATAACACATCCATAACCCTATTAGAGGATCAGATTCAACCCCTAAACAACAGTAAAGCTCAGATTGTTCACTTAAACAGGGTCAATCAAAATGCAAACTCTGATTTTACTATGAAAAATATCCCCAAAGCTCTTCATGAAGCTCCTACTCCAACAAACTGATGACGTCACCAAATGAGATGAATACGTACTTACAGTTTTCTACTGCATCTAAATCAATACATTTATTTTTACTGTTTCGTCATCATGTACATCCTAAACACAGACGTGTATTAATTTATTAATAAATGCACTGTTGTTAAGGGAGATCGTCTCTGTCTTTATCATCGATCCATATTGTATTCCAGATATTTCATGTTGCACCATGCACAGTAGCTACGTTAGACCTATGACAAATAGGCCTATGTTTTTCTGATCATATTCAACATTGCCTACATTGCACTGTAATTACACCGAGATTAGATTATTAGACCGTTTTACAAAAGGACATTCTTCTGCTTGAGTAGATTGATCTGGAGAGACCATTAACGACTTATTAGACTACCTGGAGAAATATGTATCTCTGAAAGTTGTGATCAGCTCGTAGTGTTGCATGATAACTGAAATTGTGAATCAGTGTTATTACATAGCCATTGTCTTTAGCCATAAATTGTGGTAAATATGAACTATATATTGTTGTTATGCTATTCGTCTGTGAATTTATTCAACCCAGTGAGAGCAATGAAAATGATCTGTTTATTTATAAAACACCAGTGCTAATTATTGTGTGTTGTCATTGATAAATAAATACACAGTTTGTATATATACATATATTTTTTTTTTATTATGCATATTAGACATGTTTAATTACAATAAGTATTTAAATCTTTCAAATTACACAAAATTTTGCAAATAAACAACATAAATGTTCAATTTGGTCAAAGATGCCTGGACCCGATCGTTGGTTGTTGAATTTGATTGCCATCCGCGGCTTTTTTTGTGGCTGTGACATCTCCTCTCCTGCACTGTCATCCTGTTGAAGAAACAGAAATAATCATGAACAGATTTAATGAGTGATTCTGAAAGAAAATCGAAAGAAAAATTGCTCCTACCATTTCTATATGATTTAACTGAATTGAAAAGGATATGATTCGCATGATCATCCCAGATTAAATTATTAAAGTATTTAGTTTCCAAATTTTAGTAAAATTGAGAGAGGAGGGTCTAACTAACCATATCTCTTTTACGGGTCGGCTGGGACCTGGGCTGAAGTCTGTCCTGATTTCTCCGGTTCGGTGGTGAAGGAGATTTCTGAGGGTCTTGATGGTTGTAGCGCCTCAGTTCCACACAACGTTTTTTTGGAGGTGCCCGATGCAGACCTGCGGTGTCCTGTTGAAAGAATAGACATAATCATAAAAACGCTGAACAGATTTAACGGGTGATTTTGAAAGAAAATTTGCTTCTACCATTTCTATATGATTTAACTGAATTGAAAAGGATATGATTCGCATAATCATCCCAGATTAAATTATTAAAGTAGCCTATTTAGTGTCTACATTTTAGTAAAATTGAGAGAGAGGAGGGTCTAACTAACCATATCTCTTTTACGGGTCGGCTGGGACCTGGGCTGAAGTCTGTCCCGATTTCTCCGGTTCGGTGGTGAAGGAGATTTCTGAGGGTCCTGATGGTTGTAGCGCCTCAGTTCCACACAACGGTTTTTTGGAGGTGCCCGATGCAGACCTGCGGTGTCCTGTTGAAAGAATAGACATAATCATGTAACGCTGAACAGATTTAACGAGTGATTCTTAAAGAAAATTTGCTTCTACCATTTCTATATGATTTAACTGAATTTAAAAGGATACGATTCGCATGATCATCCCAGATTAAATTATTAAAGTAGCCTATTTAGTGTCTAAATTTTAGTAAAATTGAGAGAGAGGAGGGTCTAACTAACCATATCTCTTTTACGGGTCGGCTGGGACCTGTGCTGAAGTCTGTCCCGATTTCTCCGGTTTGGTGGTGAAGGAGATTTCTGAGGGTCCTGATGGTTGTAGCGCCTCAGTTCCACACAAAGTTTTTGTGGAGGTCCGTTGTCCTGTTGAAAGAATAGATATAATCATGCAATGTTCCAAAGACTAAATCTAAAGGGCGTATCTTTTTATCATTTTGAAAATATAAGGGACTTACAAAAGCTTCTGTGTTCCGTAGACAAACCCTCTTACTCCATCTGGACGTGGGTGCTCTCTCGGGATACCTGGGTGAAGCAGGTCTTTTCTGTGGGGTCTTGGCTCCCTTTGGGCAATTCTGCTTCCGCCTCTGCCTCCACTGTTCCCTCAACTTCTCCCTCTGCTCCATAGGGATCCTGCGGTTTGCGGAAGACACTCGCACTAGGGCATTTTGCAAATGCTGCCTCTGCATCTCAGGGGTTTTAAAATGTCTCTTCACAGGGATCCTGTCAGGAACAAGTGCTCCCTGTGCACGACACACAGGCACTATCTCAGGCTCAGGGAATGTTAGTTTTTGCCTCTTCGAGATATTGTCCTGCATGGGTACTCCATGTGAGGCAGCCACTGGTGCTCTCTTTGGAGAATGGATGGACGTGGGTGGAGGCATATATTCAGGCATCAGTTGTCCTCTTTGTAGGAACTCAATGGGCTCAGGTGCTTCCTTTGAGGATGCTGTCTTTGGCTTTTTCTGCCTCCACTTTCTCCTCTGGTCCATGGCCATTGTTGCATCAGAGAAAGACTTCTGTTGGGACCTGACGGGCATACATCGTGTGGACCTAGCAGGCTCAGGTGTTTCCTGTGTGGATCTGGCATAAAAGGGTGCTCCCTGCTTACTCCTCTGCCTCCACTTCAGTGTGGTCTTCTGCCTCCACTCCCGTGTGGTCTTCAGTGTTGCATCTGAGAAGCCCGAGTGCTGGGAATGAGCCTTCTCTGATTCATCATTGAAAACCAGGGATGAGGGGCATGGTGTTTCTCCTGCCTCTACTTTTCCCCCCAACTGGCCTGAGAAAGAGTAATCGTACTCGAAATTATCAGGTATGGGGTCTGAAACCTCCATTATCGCCCACCACCGGCCTGCAGCGAAGGCCGCAGTAAGCTCATCTAATTCAGTAGATGAAGACTGATCTGCAACCTCAGAAATGGTGGACTTACTCATATTGATGTTAGATATGATATAGAAAATGGACTAGAAGTGAACAATCCTTTTCGCAATATATATCTGTGAAACACTGTGAAAGAAAGAGAAAGAAATGATTTTAGTAAACATACAGTACAAGAACCTGAAAGCTTGTTGTCTTAAGCCTAACGCAAACTTATGTCATCATCCACATTCTACAATTTTTGTCATCTGAAGTTCCACGGACATCCGTGTGAAGCCCAATTTTTGTGTTCGCACTAACAAATAGCTGTGCGGACATGAGTGTGCGCAAGATGGAGCGAAACACGGAAAATCAAGTAGGCTATAATTGATCCATCAGAAGAGGCAAGGGCGTATTTGTAATGTATTTAAAATGAACAATGAAGCTAAAAAAGTTCATTTTTATTTTTATAAATTTCCCTAGTAATGTGCATAACTTGTATTCACACAATATTCGGTTGTTGAGGCAAATTTGATTGATTAAATGAATCAGTTTAAGGCCAATAAGCTTTCAGTATCACTTCAGTGCCAAACATCGTTTTGTCAATGAAATCTAAATTATCAACAATTTTATATTTATGTATATAAAGCTTTGATCATCATTGATTTACATATTATCCTCACATTTACACACAAATCGCCACAGTGTAGCCTATATACCATGCCTAATTATTTATCTAACTGTAGCTACAGCAAATCGAGCAATGACATTCCACCATTTAAGCAAATTCTTCTGCAAATTATGAAAACATTCAAATTTAGATCCCAAACCTGTGTAAAAAAAAGCATACGCACCCAATCGCCAACTCGCTACTAAGAGAACAAAGCCGCTGCACTCATATACTCACACCGAACGTCCTGAGAAATGCTGCGATGTGACTCGGTCTGAGGAAAACAACATAACAAGAATAAAGCATTTAAAAGATAATAAAACTGACGCGTTTTGAGGAATGCGGCGATCATGTGACTCGTTCTGACGAAAACAACACAACGAATAAAGCATTTAAAAAATAATAAAAATGACGCGTTTTGAGGAATGCGGCGATCATGTGACTCGTTCTGACGAAAACAACACAACGAATAAAGCATTTAAAAAATAATAAAAATGACGCGTTTTGAGGAATGCGGCGACCATGTGACTCGTTCTGAGGAAAACAACACAACGAATAAAGCATTTAAAAAATAATAAAAATGACGCGTTTTGACTAATGCGGCGATCATGTGACTCGTTCTGAGGAAAACAGCATAACGAATAAAGCATTTAAAAAATAATAAAAATGACGCGTTCTGAGGAATTCGCCCTCATATAATTCACACTCACAAAAAAAGTTCCTGTTGGCTATCCTTGTTTTTTTTTTTTTCTTAACAGTTAAGCAACAGATCAGACGAGGAAGAGTGCGATCCCGAACATCAGGACGTTGATTTTATATTAAGTCATAAATATAACATGACTTACATTTTGCCTTCATCGCCAACGAAAATAGTTCCAAATAAAAAAAAACTCTTGTAAAAAAAAATCTGCTTTTTTCAGTAGGCCTAGGTTATTTTCTCTATGTAGGCTATATGGAAAAAGCTGATAAAGACACCTTTTTAAAAAATATTTCAAATCAACAGCCTATCTAAAAAGTGTGCATCACTTGATCAATTTATTGATTCAATTGGTTTTATGACTGTAAGTCATTCTCTTCAAATGCTAAGTTTGAAATGTGTGTACCAATGTCGTGTAACTTTAGAGAGGGTCTCTAAATGTGCGAATGTCGAATATCCAGTGTTAAGACAAATTAATGCCATTATTTAACTGGGAATAGTTCAGCGTGAAACTTTGAGCGTATGGCTGTTCTGAGTCCATACCTGTCATACATACCCTACACCCCCAATAAGATGGTAGTTTGGTCTTTTTTATTACTGTATTAGTCCATTAAGCGTAAAAAGCGGGTCGCACCGGACGAGAAGCTCAGCGTATTAACATTTAAAATGTTAAGCTCATAACATTTAAAATGTTCCTATTTTTGTTTTAGGAGTTCCCAAAAACAGATTAACATGCATGCAAGGATAAAAAACACTTTATTTGTCTTATAATATGCATTTATTTTTAAATTGATTTGCTCACCGACTCCCAAATGATTCCTACAACGACTCATTTTTCCAAACCACTCCTTTGCGTGACGCTAATCGGCGGTGATTGGTCAGATGACAGACCCAGTCAGTTGTTAGCATAACGCATAAACATATTGATAAAGCACCGCAGTACTACAAGACGCTCTGTTCTTTATGACAACATCAATAACAGCGACAAACATTTCACATATTTTAAAAAAAAATGACATTGGAGACCTAGAAGCTGCGCTGAGCGTGCGCACACACACACATATTCCCTCCTCGCGCCCGACGCTACAAAACCGTTCAAAACCCATAAAAGCAACAATTATTAATAATACTTACAGGTTGTGATTCATAGGAGGAAGCTGATCCATATACACTGGGTAAGTAAGTTAGCCCTCCCTCAGGAACAACCGCTTGCGAATCCACATTTGAATTCATTTATGTTTTTGAACTAGTAACTTATTCGTCAATAAAATGATGAAAACACAATCGGGCTATTCTGTTGTGGTATCGTTGCAAATATGAACTCTAACCACCGATTCTTCACATGCTCGTCCCCTGTAAATGAAAACAAAGTGGCTGAACTATCTTTGCATTGTAGAACACAGCGTCTTCTCAACATGATGCTATGATGAAGTATTTGAATGTGTAGACTTCAAGTTTACACTTCCGTCTGCGCGCGCAGTAACTGGGCGCGGCCAATGACCTCTCTACGTCACGATGTAACAGCTAATGACTCGTTTCAAAAACAATTCATTTCATAGACTCAGAGTCGACTCTCACTTTTGAAAGACAATTATATACGGTGCACTTTCAGATATAAATCTTTGCAGGATGTTTTCATTCCCTTAGAGCTATATTCCAGCTCATAAGGAAAACCAGTATACAAAACCGGTATATGAATATCTATTGGTACATGGATCACATGACTAAACTTAAGTAATCGTTTTCGAATACCTCCTGCTTCACAGTCCAGTGATATATACTGTAGGCTAGTCTATCTTCTGTGTTAGTTTCACACATTTATTTGTTTGTGAATTACTCAAATATATTATTTCCCTCTGACTTGCTGGATTATAAGAGTTATGAATAAGTAAAGATGACAATAATAGAGAAAAAAAAAGATTTTGTGTCTAGGTTAAACCGATAAATAATGGGGTTTGACTGTAAAAACCATAGATATGTATATAAAGGCTAGATGTGTTACGGCGGAGTTTCTATCGTCATCACCGGCGGCCATCTTGTCACAGACAAGCTGATGTAAGATGAGAGGTCAGCACGAACACAAATACTCTTATCTCGTTGAAATCTTGGCGGATTTACAAACGGTTTGGTTTCTTACAAACGTTATTAACGTGGCTATAATTATCTGGATGATTATTTATTTATACACTTTTTATTCATAAGTATGCAGTGTCATAACTACATCTCTGACGTTTATAACAAAACAAACTGTTTGAAAATCGGTAGAAAATTGAGCAAGTTATGGTTATTCAAATAGCACATGTACCATTAACACAATGTTACGAGTGAGCGAGCTGCCTGTGACAAGATGGCCTCCATTGGCCAGCAGCGTGGACGACATATCTAGCCTTTATATACATATCTATGGTAAAAACATCCAAATGTCCAACGAATTCACAAACTGATGGGAACAATGTAGGCTTATATTAGTACATTGCAAACAATTCTATTTTTATGCAAAATAAATCCCTTGAGATAGATCAACGTTCCAATGAATAAAGACATTTTAATATAGGATTGAATGCTCTACAAATAATTATATAATTTAACATAAGTATAACAAAACATACCCTAGCAACAAAACTGTTTACAGTGAATGTTTTAACCTTACAGCATGAATAAAGTCATAAATAGGGGATTTGAAAAAGTTGATTACTTACTAAAACAAAAAACAAATAAAAATAGTAATAATTGAGAGGATGATTTTAGATGTTGCTTTAATTTTTTTTAGTCATTTCAGTGAAATGAATGGAAAACTGTTCAGAACACAAATTTGCATCTGCGCCGCCACATAACACACTGCCAAAAATAATGCTTGTGTGTTTCCCCCTCTTCCTCTTCCATTTCAACACCACAGACTTAGCCGTCAAATGAACAAAAATCGTCATTTTTTTGTACGTTTTTTATTTAAGTTTTTTATTTAATGCCAATAATTAAAAAAAGTACTTTTTTCGGGACAAATTATTGATTATAAGTATCCAAATTACACATTGTTTGCATTATTCAGTGCATTCAGATCACAATACAGAATAGTAAAGCCCTTCAGTTTGCCAAAACAAAAAACAAGCACAACAGAAAGAAAAATCCTTTCTATTATTAATTACAAAACACAGTGAAGGCCTATATATCCCAACATAAACATGAGCAACTGAATTCCCTTTTATGCAGCCTTTCAACAACAAATTTGGACATATTTATGAGATTAACATTGGCTGATCAGCCAATCACAGAAAATGCAATGCATGAGACGAGCAGAGAAGAGCCCTACAGAAAAGAACACTTACACAAGATGGAGCAAATGTACATTTTGCACATCCTTCAGTAATGTCAGGATTAGGATAGGCTAAATAAGGCATGCACTAGTTTAGCCATTTGTTTGTATGATTGCAGCTTGTGTTAGGATGTGACATACCGTCTCTGAATAGTAAACATTGTTTGGACAGATCCTAAGCCATCCACGTTCATCATCGGTATATGAGTAACATTCACTTAAGGCGCACATAACAGGATTAAATCTGCAAAATCGCTGATTTAAATCAGGACTTTTAGGCCTCTATAGTGACTGGTACCCATTACTTCTCCGTTTTCGGCTGATAAGATAAGCAATGACTACAATGACGATGAGAATGATGAGGATTATGCCCACGGCGATGGGAACCCGGTAGTCCGGTTTATCAGCCTTGCATAGATCAGCTGTTGGACAAACACAAATAAGGCACAGTGAACAGTGTGTCAAACTAGTTTTAAAGGCAAATATTAAAAGGCTGAAACACACTACACGACTTAGTTTTGAAAACACTAGGCATAAACTTGGCAACTTTGTGAGTGGTTCAAGAAAAACTGGGTTTTTCAACCAACAATATCAAACATGTTTGATTCTCTGACTGGACAGAATTATAGTCTGAAACTAAAAGAAACAAAAGTCTGTGGTCATTTTTACATGTTGCAATTTTCTGTCAACTCAAATCTGAAGACCGGCTCTGGATTTCGGCAACTAGTGTCGACTCATCCAAACTGTAAATCTCGGCAAAAGTTGTGTAGTGTTTTCCAGCCTCAAAATAGCAATAGTTTAGTAGATACAAATATACATAATACTTAAACGGGTGGTCAAAATTGCAGTTGTATTACAGATCATTTAATTCGCGTGACTTTTAAAGTTGTCATGTCAAATAATAAAAAAAGCTTTTTAAAAAAAGTAGCAGATTTTCATACGATTTAAAAATACACATGCATCCACATTAGTTAAAAATATGTCAGGTAGCCTTTGGACTTTATAACAGGCCTACTTTGTCTTATCACTGGTTGTTTAGAGTCATCTGGCCGGTCTAACCAGCTCCTTTGCATTGCCACATTTGCACCAATCTTTGTAAACAAGCTTTACGAAGTGTGTAGGACATAATGGGTAACGTGATTTCACTTAGTGCATCATCTTTCTTGATCCTGGAACAATATTTCAATCAACTCAAATCAGATTTGAGTTTATGTCACGTTTAGGCTTATAACCGGTGTTATTCGCCATCATTTCCCTCTGATTTTAGGGATAAGTTATGGGTAGAGTAAGGAATATGACACAAAATATGTTGATCCAGAAACATATCTTACTTGGTAAAATCACTGTGACCAGGACATACGCTATACGGTGCATAAGAAAGGCAAAGTGTATAGTCCAAATAGCAACATGTAGATGTAGAGTGTAACATAGAGGTTTCTACAAGGATGCTTGAAGTGCCATTACTCTAAACTTACTTGTGCCAAATGCCTTGTTTTTGATGTTGAAGGCCTGAAGTCTGTAATTGGTCAGATCTAGACTCACACCATTCCCCATGTACACGCTCTCAGCACTGCAGGAGTAAGAGTGACCCGGAGCCGCGGAAAACAGCTCAAGAGACTCGTTCTTCCCTCCGTAATTTTCCGATGCTTTGTTGACAAAAATAAAAATAATTTAATCAAACATACAAACGAAATTGTAACGATAAAGTCATAATTATAGTGAAAACTCTTCCACTACCACTCATGTTTGAAATTGGGAAAATGTATTCACGTGGACATAAAAACTAGTCTTTAAACAAGATCATATTGTTTTTTAATTCAAAATGAAATGCATTCACACATGGATGCGAAAAACACATTTACTGTAACCAAACTGACAGAAATACTTCCTTGTCAGCATGTGACATTCACTGTTGCCAAACTGGTTGACCAGCATGGCCTAGAATTTATTTTATTTTTATTTTTGTTTTTTTTAGGCTTGGCTATTTATATCACTTGGAGAATTTTTAAGCAAGAATTATGTTTACAGTAGATTTTTGAGGAACCAATGAGTAAAATATATATGTGTGTGTATATGAAGAGTTCAGATGCAAAAGCCTCTAAATGCCATTTGAAATGTTCTTCTTTAATGATGATTTTTATCAAACTTGTATATTTAAGTTCAGTAATTTCACTTAAATAACAATTAATAGGTAATTATCATTGCCATTTAAGTGAAATCACCGAACTTAAATATACAAGCTTGATAAAAATTATCATTCTAGAAGAAAATTTCAAATGGCACTTAGAGGCTTTTGCATCTGAACTCTTCATATATATATATATATATATATAATTTATTAAAGGGATACTCCACTGTTTTTTCATATTAAACTATGTTATTCCCTTAACTAAGACGAGTTGATACATACCTCTGTCGTCTCAGTGCGTGTACTTAATCGCTCTGGCGCGCGAGACAATTTGATCGCACTTAACTAGCCCAGTTCATTCAATATGGGCCAAACAGAGAAGTGACCAAACACATCCACGTTTTCCCTATTTAAATACAGTTACACGAGCAGTGTAACTCGACCTAGGACGGTGACACAAAATAAAACATTGCGCTTTTCTAGGTGTGTAAAGTGGATAACTATATTGTATGGCGGAATACCACAGCAAGTGCTTAGGAGCACTTCGATTCGGCGCAGTAATATCATCACTCGTGAAAAGTCCTCTCAATCTCCGGAGTGATGATATTACTGCGCCGAGTCCATCAATATATACGCGCCGAGTCGAAGTGCTCGTAAACTGCACGAGTAACTGTATTAAAATAGGGAAAACGTGGATGTGTTTGATTGCTTCTCTGCTTGGCCCATATTGAATGAACTGGGCTAGTTAAGTGTTTCGCGTGTCAGAGCGATTTAGTGTATGCATCAACTCGTCTTAGTTAAGGGAATAATATAGTTTAATATGAAAAAAAATGGTGGACTATCACTTTAAAGTAAAAAAAAGACCAATACTAATATTTAACCTCTTTGTTTAGGTGCCTAATACAAAAACCGTGTAACTACAGGTAACAGTTGAAAGCCCTCGGAAAAAATTGTTGAAAATTGAGGATGTGTGTTATTGTGTGTGTTTTACAAGGCAAAGTGTAGCAGTCACATGGCAGGGAATTTACCTCCACTTTTGAAAGCATAGGTCAAATCAAACTCCACAAACTCAACATAGACCTTTTGCTTTGTTTCATCCTGGAAAGTCCAAAGAAAAAGAACATTAGAATGTAATCCAAAATACACAAACACAATAGAATAAGAACATATTGTTTAATAAAACCATCACACCATTTTCAAATCACAACAACAATCAATGAACCACCTGAGTAACAAACATTATCTACATAACTGCATCATACTGATATCATGTGGGTCACCATATCATAATCAATCAGCTGAGAACACCTGGTGCCTCCTTGTGAGCTTATTGGTCACATTGTTAGTGAGAGTCAGCTTAGGCAGAGAGAATAAATAACAGTCTTTTATACTTCCTCCTAAAATGCCTCAAAGTTCTGTTTTCAGACCACACAAACTCAGGTTGTACTGAAAGATTCATCAATTATTATTGCAAAAAAAAAAGTCCACTAGCCTGATATAAACTAACTACAATGGTAAAGAATCTTCTAGATCTTCTAAAGGTATATTAAATCTTTTGTTGATTAAATTTCATCATACATGCAGTTTTTTTTTTGTTGAAAATCCATAAAAATACTTACATTTTTAAATTTTAGGGCAAGACTGCCTTCATCAAAAATGAGAGTGATATCAGCCGTTTTCTCCGAACATTGTCCACTGGAAGTAGTTTTCCTCGGCTGAACAATGAACGTGCCATTAACCTAGAAAGACAGAAATGTTTCAGAACAATGGATAATATTTACATGGAATATGGAGAAATGACAAGGTAGACAGTGTGAAGGATACAGGCGGTTTAGATATAATAATCTGGAATCGCATTTGGATGTACAGTAGGTCTATCATTACAACAGAAAGCATCTTACCTCACTGGTGTTCACACGGATCCCGATTCCCAAGTCAGCCAGAATACAGATATTGCCATCTTTATCAGTAACATTATATCTCCCCTTTGTCATGTTGGTGGGTGGTGTTGGCGCTGGAGGGGCGGTTGTTGTGTTCGGGTGGGGGGTTGTTGTGTTCGGGTGGAGGGTTGTTGTGTTCGGGCTGTGAGTTGTTGTGTTCGGGCTGTGGGTTGTTGTGTTCGGGTGGGGGGTTGTTGTGTTCGGGTGGGGGGTTGTTGTGTTCGGGTGGGGGTTGTTGTGTTCGGGTGGGGGTTGTTGTGTTCGGGTGGGGGGTTGTTGTGTTCGGCTGGGGGGTTGTTGTGCTCAGCTTGACCATAAAGTCGGAACTATATTCACCTGAGGTGAGAGCTGAGGAAAAAGATAGAGACAATGAATGTGAGAAAAAAAACATTCCCAAGCGAGAAAGCAACATCTGCCAAAATAATTCAGTGACAAAACAAAAGATTCATAATTTAAAAAATAATAATAACAACCTGTATAAAAAAAAAATTACTTTGGTAAACGTTTTTGACAAGAAAATACACACTATACAGAGAGCCTCCATTTGTTTTGCACATGGTGTTTACATACATTCACTTCCTCCCAACAAGTGCGCGCGCTCACAAGTACACACACGTTACAATTTCCCAACAGGAAATTCACTTCAGCCGATTTCACGTGACATGGGATCCCAAGATTAGCCGCATATCAAAAGTGCTGACAAAATAACTGACACCTTTCTTTGCCTTAGGGAAAGTTTGTTTAATAAACAGAACAAAAACACAAAAATCTGTCACGGGGACGATAGGGGGGAACTCAAGGTGATTGGGACACTTTTTCCCAGCCATCTCAATGGCAAAAAGTGTCCCAATCAATCAACCTGACCCCACCCTTTAAAAAGGTTATCATATAGCCTACCATTTTGATAATATGTTTACTTTTGGTACCAAAATGCACCTTTAAGGTAGGCTACTATATGCACTCTTTAAGTAAAGGTGTATTTTGAAAGGGTAACAGATTTTGTACACTTCTGAACTGGACTAGTCAGTCCATTTTAAATATCAAGGGAACAAAACTAGCCAACGTCATTTCCAACTTCAAGACAAAAACATTTCAGACGATTCATATTTCTTGCTCTTTACTCTTTATACTGTTCTGACCCGCAACTACACAATTTGACCTCAGTATACAAACTTTTGGCCCTCATTTTCTCTTCATAGCGTTGCATTCAAGTCATGCATGGAAATCGAAACTACTTTAGTTCAAGAAAATTATGTGTCCAATAAGTAATAAATCTCTTCGCTGTTATTTTTGTTTGAAAAATCGTTCTCATGAATAAAAATAATCACAAAAGTTAAATATTACTTAAATTAGGCTATAGGTTAACTTTACAGCTTTGAGAGAAGTCGCAGCACAGCACTTCCTTATTGGTGAGATCAGTCAGTTTTATGACGTGCACTTTTTTGGACATATATACAGTATAACGTTAGTATACAGATATATTAGTATTTTTCCAAGTTCCTGCAGTGCGATTCAGTATTTTTAAAGGTACTAATTAGGCTAAATCAGTGTTTAATTCATGGTGGACGTACGACATAATTTAACATTTCCTTTCAAAGCAAGGATTAACGTTAATGTAAAATATTGTACTTTACCTGTTGCAGCAATGACGGCCGCGATCAATATTAATCCGTTTCTCATTTTTACACCTTTATTCCGATGTACCTGACACAAAAACTGTCTGGATCGTCAGCTGTAAAGCAGCGCAATAAACTGGTGTCGAAAGCCTGTAACACACAGTGCACTTATTCCCCTGAAACGAAACCACAGATAGAGTAAAGGAAGTTCTCGCTTTGCGTGTTTGTCCAATCACAGTCAGTGAGACAAGCGTCCCAGCAATTTAATACAGTGACCGTGTTAGCTTGCTTTGGAGAAAACGAAAATTAACAGTCGATATGGGATTCTGTCTTGCTGTCGTATTTACTTGTTGAAACATTTAGAAGAACTGCTTTTATGATAGGCTTTATATCGTGACAATCACCTTTAGCCTAACAGCTACAGACACTCACTGAGAATCTTATTGTGGCAACCGAGCAGGTTGTTTTTCCTCTCGTCTTCTGAAGTTTTATGTTTAAAAATGTTCTTGTAAAAAACATAATTATTCCAATATGACATATAGGCCACGGATGGCGTTTTTATGATTGAATAATCATTTAAAGCATATTGTACAGTGAAAATAGCCCATATTTGACCACAATTTCAGACTATTTACTATATATCTAGTTGTCAGCTGTCAGTCCTGCTGGAAAAACAGCTAAAACCAGACTAGATTTAACCTGGCTGGTTGAGGGGTTTTGGACACTTCTTTTAGCTGACCAGGCTGGTCTTGGTTGGTCTTAGCTGGTTTAAGTTGGAAGTTGGTTTTAGCTGGTCTTTCAGCATCTCCCAGCTTGGCCAGGTAAGACCAACCAGCCAGTGGTGCGTTCACGTGCTATGATAATTATGGTAAATACCAAAAGCAAACGTTGAAAATGCACATGAACACCCCCTCATGTGGTATTTTCCACTGGGCAACTCGTAGAATATTTTGATGCACGAGCTGCCGAGATGATATAACCTGTCCTTTGACCTTTTCAAAATGGCGGAGCAACGCAAGATTCGTGAATGGTAAAAATATGAACTATTCATGATCTAGAAAATATACAGCCAATTATTTACCGTTTGAGATTTGGTAAATCATTTTCTTGCTGTTGCAGATGACTTAAGCAATCTAGTTTTAGCTAGATAACAGGTCTGGATTATCTTTTTTTTTTTACCATTTTACAACAAACAAAAGCACTTGAACGCAAAAGACTGGTAAATACCAGTTCATGAGTGGAAAATATCATATTTTCCATAGCACGTGAACACACTATAGGTTGGCTGGGTGAATGTGACTTTAAATAGCATTTTGGATTTAATATGATTTTTCCAAAAATAGGCAAGAACAAACCTGGCGTTCTATCCAACAACACAATACTTGAATGTGATGAGCTCGTAATCAAGCAATTAGAAGTCAAGGCAAGAGTCAATAAATCCCATTTTTTTCTGCAAATAGTGCATTTCTACAATGTGTAAACTGAAAACTTATTTGTGATTTTCGGTGTCACAAGACAAGAGCCTTAGCAGCAAGTGCACATCAAAACGGTTGAGGTCCTGATCTTACATTTGATTTCTACTTGCCAATAAATAAAGACAAAAGGTTTTAAATAAGCCAATAATTACAAAGTTAATGAAACAAAATGGCATCAGTTAATTTTATTCACCTCAATAAAGCAAATAGCTAAAAAAAAAAAAACTCCTTAGAGATTAAGTTAAGCAGGAAGTGTTTTTGCTCATCTTTCATGTGACTGCAATGCAGGAAGTGAAATTTTGACTCATGCTCAGCATGCATGACAGCTACAGAAGGACATTCTGTTTAAGCATGTCTGACTATACACATGAAACTAGACTGTCAAAGTATGCACACATGCGATTACATTTTATTCTGTTAATCTACATACATCTGAAGTCTAGGAAAATACACTGAAATAGCTTACAGTGAAAACACAGGCTTGTTGAGATTTGTTTTATCGTAACCTCAGGATCTCATGACTGTAAGGGAAGTTCTGGTAAATTCATAGTATGTGGAAAAACAAGCACTGGAAATGCTGATCGGAATACATTGCATTTCTCATGAAGACAGCAGTCACATGTCTACCTTCCACACTGTGCCATGAAAATTTCCTAAAAAATACTTGAGATGCCAGAGATCATAAAGCCCCATATTTCCATTCAGACTGAATTCATTCTTGACAAAGAACCTACATTATACAGTATATTTAACATGTCCAATGCTCTTCAAATCAGTTCTTGTTTGTTTCTTCATCATCTTCACTGCTGCTGGATTCTCCAAACAGGTCCTTCCCACAGGCAACACTGGATTTCGTGTGTGTATTTTGTTGGCTGACCGTCATGGTGATTAGAGTAGACATGTCACTAAAGCCCAAAAGCAGTGTGCCGTTGTTGGGTCCAAGTAAAGAGATGGTCTGGATCTTAGAGTCAGGTGTGAAGACAGACAACAGCGTCCCATTGTCCAGGTCCCACATGCTCACTTCATCTGTTGAACAAATAATTCAAAGGCTTGTGGAAAAAAGAACATAATATTCCTAGTATCTCAATTAAAACTTAAACACAAAACAATTCCTATTGTGTGAAGATCCTATTAAATCCTCTCACTACCATACTAGACTGGCAAAGTTTGCATGTTTTTCTCGACCTAGATTAAACGAAAAGCATCTAGAGCAAGCAAGCCAACACAAATATGGTCAAAGGTCTAATGTACCTGATAATAAAATAGCCTTGGATTGTCCTTCAGTGATAAAAAGCAAACTGGACCA